AACCAAAACGGCCAATAAAGCGTTTTACTCATTAGTTGTTTAGAACAGCGGTTCTCAACCTTCCCAATGCCGCGACCCTTTAATACAGTTTCTCATATTGCGGCGACCCCCCCCCCCCAACCACACAATTATTTGTGTAGCTACTTCATAACTGTAGAGTTTGTGTGTTTTCCGATGATGGTCTTAGGCGACCCTTGTATTAAGCTCGTTCGACCCCCAAGGGGTCGAGACCCATAGGTTGAGAACCGCTGGTTTGGAACATCACTACGTTAGTACAAATGCACTGTTGACCTGTCTTGGCCATCTCGTTTAGCTTCATTTCCTACTTCTCCCCACCCCCACCACCCCCCACAACACACACCCTGGCGTCTACAGTTGTAACTATTTTATTAAGACCAGGTTCAACCGAGGGTCTAATCAAACTGAAAGAGTCCATTAAAAGTTACCATTGAATTCTGTGCTGGTTCAACAAAATCTTGAGGCACTGTGGCACACCCCAAGGTACCGGATGGATACCGGCAGCTCGATTGGATAACCGAAACAAAATGTACAGGATGTGTTAACACTGCTCACGCGAAAGCTAACTAGAAGGGTTGCCGGAAATTTGATCGAAAGAAATTTCGTCGACGGTAAATTGATCGTCGGTAATTTGAACGACCGGAAATTTGGTCGAATCTTTTTTTTTTCAGTTCTCACGTTAAGATTTTCGTCAAATTTCTTTTTGAACGCACTCTACTATGTAGTAAAACAAAATAATGCGTTCAAAAAGACATTTGAAGCAAAATTTAAAAGTAAAAACGGACAAAAAGATTCGACCATATTTCGGTTCGATCAAATTTCCGTCGATCAATTTACCGTCGACGAAATTTCTTACGATCAAATTTCCGGATACGAATTAGAAGTGATAGTAGAAAACTAAACGAGATCCGATCTAATGCATGATTTGGTGAGGGTTGGACGATTTCTCAACTTTAAACAATTATTATTTTAGCACATCCCAGGTCCCGAACTGCCCCCCCCCCCGTTACGCCACTGACCAGGCCAAGCTTGACGTCACAAAACAGTAACAACAACTCTGAACAAAAATTGTTTTTAGAACTCAAGCATTTTATAAGATAACCAGACATATATTTTTTTTTTAATACATCACATTCATTTCTTCATAAGACATGTGCTCAAAAACAAAAGCTTGCATAAACAAGTTCGTCAGTGACACCGATACACATAGTCACAAAGTAATGGACTACCGTACAGCCAAGACAAAATAAAATAACGACATGAAACTAAGGGAGAAAATCACTGTTTAAAATTATCCTACACCGAGGACAGAGTTATCTCCTTTTGAGTTTGTGTTTGCAAAGAAACATTTTTTTTTTTTAAAAGAATAACTAAGGAATGGCCGATGCATTTCTTTCTCAATTTTCTTTGCCTAAATAATTTATAAAAAAAAAAAAAAAGATAACATATTTTAAAATTGTAATTGGATAAACAAGAGTTATCCTGATAATCAGTGAAAAACAGACATACACACAAAAGAAAAGTCAATTTAATGATATGATCCTGTACCAACATTCTAACAGAGAACCCCCCACCCCCAAACCAAACAGGTTTGTACATCTCCAATTCCTGATGTGATTATCTCCATAACTTTGTGTGCAGCAGTGTGTTCCCAATCCATGGGACAAAACTTGTTTGACTTTTTTTTTTTTTT